GGAGAACTATTCGGTTCAGCGGCGAGTTAATGTATAGCAGAGCCAGGATGTAACGACTGCATATGGGAGGTCGACAAATTTGGCGTGGCAGATTATGGTGTGGGGGTTAATCCCCCTGGTAGAACAAACCTGGTGCAACTGCACGGCATCTTAACGGCCTAACGCTGAAATGCTACAGCCGTACGTTGTTTTCATTATGTACAACCTAGCGGAATAAAGACCGCCTCCGTGGTCTAGTGGTAGAACGGCCGCCCGGAGTGCGGAACGTCCGGGGTTCGATCCCCGACTGCGTCATTCCAAAAGACCTTAACAGATGGTACTTGTTGCTACCCTGTCTGGCGCTAGGCATTAAGGGGCTAAAACAAGGACTGGTCGGCTCGGAGTCAGTATACTGTGTCTGAGTGGGGTATTCATGTTAAACTGCGGCATGGTATCTCAGTGGGCTAGCACTATAAATCGGCATCAGTCTGGACTAGTACAAGCAGCCACACACACACACACACACACACACACACACGTGCATACACGTCGCTATGTGAGTGCAATAATCTTCGACGCGACGTTAAACCCCATTTCACCTCACCTCACCTAGCGGAATATTTCAACATGACAATGCTGGACCGCATACAGCATAACGGGTTTACCATGGAGCCATTATGTATTGTCCTCCCGTGGTCCTCCACATTGGAACCAGACAGAACACCAATATAACGCATCAGATCGAAACGTATGACAGCGTCGTCCAAGGCCTACTTGCACAAAGTGATCTTAGCACAACAACTATCTAACGCCGATACTTCAACACAGGCTTACAGTAGACTTAGCGCTACAATAGCTTTGTGCAAGTGGGCCTGGACGCAACAGCTCCAGCATCTGCGCTGCAGGCCGAGTGGGACAGTATTCCCCACCGTGTGCTCCCTACTCTTACGTCGTCCATGGGCAGTAGGTGGCCGGCTGTACAATGACACGAAAAAAGGACGCGAGACAAATCTCGTGACCTTGACCGTTATCATTTTCCGTGTAATGTCTTCATATTCGACACACGTGTCCCGTTTGCAGTATGACATCAGCTGTCACGTGTTCAAATGAGCAGGAAATGTTCATCACTTCCTACACCAAAATCGGCGTTTTCTTTTCTTTTCTGTTTTTGTCTGTGTTGCGGTGGGGTGACGCGGCTGGCCTACATCACAGCCAAATGCGCCATCCCCTATAGTGCGTCACTAGTCATTGAAGCGGACGTAAAATATCTTCGTAACTTAGCATCTTGGCTATCCTGCAAGAAGTGGCAGTAAGATATTAATAGTAGCCTTGTGATACATACTTTGGTTGCTGCGAAATCAAAGCTATATTGTTTGCTTTTCCGCTTTTACTATACGGCACCCACATTGGTGTATAATTTGGCAAAAGGAAATGTCTCAGAGGAAGTCTCCTTTGATGAATTAAGAGACATTCTGAGCTTTAAAAACCATTAAAAACGCAAGCTCAACAAACTAATTTTTTAGAACCCGTTAATTAGAAAATGACAAATATTTTGTCCATTTCGTCACATGGGATGTTATGCAAAGTTTCTCAAAACCAAGAAAGAGATAGCAATAATGATTAGTTATATGTGGAGATATCATGTTGACTGACTTACATGAATCAAATATATTGATAAAACCATTGTCTATCCACCCGTGAAGATCCGGTTCAGAATAGGTCTTTAGCAACCCATGCTTGCCAGTAAAAGCCGACTATGCTTGTCGTAAGAGGCCACAAACGAGATCGGGTGGTCAGGCTCGCTGACTTGGTTGATGCATGTCATCGTATCCCAAGTGCATGGATCGATGCTCATGATGTCAATCACTGGATTGTCTTGTCCAGACTCGATTATTTACAGACCGCCGTCATATCGCTGGAATATTCCTGAGTGCAGCGTTAAACAACAAACAAAACAAACCAATGTCTATCGAAACATGTATGAGTGAATGAGTGAGTATGGTTTTACGCCGCTTTTAGCAATATTCCAGCAATATCACGGTGGGGGACACCAGAAATAGGCTTCACACATTGTACCCATGTCGGGAATCGAACCCGGGTCTTCGGCGTGACGAGCGAACGCTTTAACCACCAGGCTACCCGACTGCCCCTGGAAACATGTATGCCTCCATATTGGAGTTTTTTCATCTGACACCCTCACTCAATTTTTTGATAAAACTGATAATCCTCACCATATTAAGCTTAAATAATTATTTATCCATGACATTAATCTTGTAGAAAACAACATGTGGTATGTCCCCAGGTCTCTGGCAGCATTTTTTATAGAAAATCTCAAAGTATTATTCTGTGACGGAGTTGACATTGTTATAACTGTTGTAATGTCTTCAGCTAAATCTTGAACTGGAGTGAACAAAACTTGCATTCTGCAAAATAACAAAAGGCATCCATCATACTGACAACAGAATGCACCCCCGTGTCACTTAAACCACGAAGCAAATACATCAGAATATGGCCAGTTTTATTAAAAGATCCCCCGGTGATACTTCCATCATCTATGTGTAGGGGTCATATCTGAATTGGGGGCACGGGTGGCCCAGTCGTCTAAGGCGCCGCGATTCGCTGTGCAGAGTTGCGTCCCTTGGGCAGGTCAGATACCTATGATTGTGGGTTCGAATCCCGGTTCGCCCCGCTTGTGTTTCTAGGTTTTTCAGCACCATACCCGTGCTCGTGTGTTTCACCGAAGTGGTAAACGTCTGAGACCTGCATCACTTTGGGCTTTTCTCCCATATTAAGCTGACACGCCGCGATATAACTGGAATACTGTTAAAAGCGGCGTTAAACCCAACTCACTCACTCATATCTGAATTCTCAACTCGGTAACAATTTCTGTAAGGTCCGTGACTTGATTTCCCCAACCATGTAAACTGCATGAGTTGTAATTACTTATGGTTCTCTTACCATCTTAAATATGTTTTAATAACATCACTGATCATATACATATATATGGTATAATGAATATTTGTTGTGTTCATTTAAATTTCAGATTTACTTGAAATAATGTTGCAGACATTTCTGCAATGTCCACACTTACTGTTCACTCCATCTGATCACAAAGATAATGTGACGGGGTTGATATACAGAACATTATGTACACGGCCTTTTGCAACAATTCAAAGGGCCCAAAGTTCATATCAGTACCCTATCTTACAGCGGCTTATGTACTCTATGTACAGTCTATCTATCTCATATCATACCCCGTGTTGAAAACACTGATAAACATGTGACGGTGAGGACATGTGTATGCTGTTGTGACTCCATCTTCCCGGGATAACACGGTAGTTTATGGATAACAACTTCTTTAATACTAAAGTATAAAATTGTGTCTGCCTTGTCATCCGTCAACTTCTAAGTAATGCCTATCAAACAATTTAGGACAACATCATCAGCAAAGAGCAGCAGTTTAATTGTTTCAATAACTTCACTTACAAAACTGCCCCGGCATTCACTTGCCTCAGTTTCAGACACTAATTCATTAATAAAGAGGATAAACAATAACGGGCTCAACATACAGCCCTGTCTTACACCACAAGGGGTGTTAAAAACATCCCATCTGCTATTACTTATCTTCACACATGCACAAACATTTTTATACATATTTTCAATAACTTTATACATTTTACCATGAACGCGTTTTTGGAGAAGTGCATACAACAGTTTCTTTCTATCAACAAAATCGAACGCTTTTCTAAAATCTATAAAGGCGGCATAAAAGCGATGTTTTGGTTTTCTTAAATACTTTTGACACAATGCCTGCAAAACAAAAATATTATCAGTTGTTGAATGATCCTCTCTAAATCAAGCTTGGGATTCCGTTACATCTCGTTGATTTCAGCCCAGTATCTAAGTCTATGTTCAACAACAGAAGTAAATATTTTTCCCATTACATTTAGGAGGGATATTCCTCTATAATTGTTAGGATTTCTTGACTTACCAGATTTATACAAAGGAATTATAAGGCCAATATTCCAGGCACAAGGGAAAGTCCCTGTCTTTAAAATGGCATTGAAAAGTATATTTAAGTATGGGACGATATTCATGCAATATTTGTAGAACTCGAGCGGTATTCCGTCCGATCCAGGCGCCAGATACTCACACTGGATAGATGAAGACTTCTATCACTACTGTCACGTGACAAGATTGTGTCTTCCATTCAGAAGGATAAGGTTGCCGGTGCCCGCTATGGCAATGGAACTAAAAAAAGTTGGAAAAGCTTTGAAAAGGCCGGCCAAACGTAATGTGACGCAGTTGACAAAAAAGATAGGGACAGATGTTGTCACAGACCCGAAAATATATTCATTGTAATTCAAACATTTTATCTGTTCTGATACAAATATCACTATATACAAATAATGGCACGCAAAAATAATTGAAAACATATATAAAAATGAAAGTGATGAAAATTGCCATTGATTCCAGCCGGCAGGACCTGAGGACACACACTTTTACCAACACTTTGCACCTCATCTTCCATATACTACAGGAAGTGTACAGTTTAATGCATATATTTGTAGTTAGCGTCAGAATTAGGTCTTTCATACTATATGGCCAAATCTGATAAATATTTGATAAACGTGAGTTCGAATCCCATATCGATTATCCCGTTTTTTATTCTTTACCGAAACAGTAATCGCCTAAGACCTGCATCACTTCTGGCTTTCCTCCACATCAAGCTGACACGCCGTGATATACAACAAAAAATCAGTTCGGAGAGGTAAACTTTAACAGTTCAAATGTGTTTGCATTACGACGTAACAAAGATTAGCCAGAGACCATACAATAAATAATGGTCTTTGGATTATCAAAGTTATGTATCCTTCAATAGTTCCTTGCAGCAGTAATGCAGTGTGAAACTATCAAAATAGATAAAAGTCGCATCTGTGAATCAAGCGATAACGTGATATCTAACTCCAAAAATAAAGCAATAAACGCTCCCTTTTATCTAACTCTTCTCACTGAGAGATTGAAAAGTTCAAAGTGAAACAAAATGGCGGATACAACGCTTTCCTCCGAAAATGTTCAAAAGTTGAAGGTGTGTTGCACAAATTTGCATATGTAAATGTTTTTATATCAACTGCACAACCTTACATAGTTGTTTTCCTTTATTACTCCGAAAAAAAATCACAAAGTAGCGCTTTGAATGCTTTGATATGCAGGTAGTAATGATTCGGTTTCACGGAAAAATAACAACGGACATGAATGGAGATGGTAGAATAACTTGAGGATGTAATAATAGGCTTACACGTTTTGATAACAGCAACCGTGTTCGTATTTTCAAGTAAAACATTTTAGATTGCAGTTGTAGGTGTAACCGTTCATTGTAACAAGCATCTTCATATTTTCTGCAGATATTTCAGTAAATGGCTTCAAGCCTCATTATCCTAGTTATCCACACGAAACGTGTCTCAGTGAATGTAGCTTGTAAATATTGCTTCCACTTGCAGGTTGCAGACCTGAAGAAAGAGCTGAAAGATCGGGGTCTGACGGTTTCTGGGACCAAGGCAGAACTTGTGGAGCGCCTTATGAAGAGTCTTGAAGCAGCAGGTAGGGAGATACTTTGATCAGCATTTTCTTACATTGAAATATGTTTTTTCTTAGACCTGCTATGACGTTAATAGTTACTTTTCTTGCTTAATTTGACTTAACTCTCAATTGGTAGTAATTTGATTGGGAGGGGGTTGAGTAAAAAAGTCACTGAAATTGCATTAAAAAAATACATTTAGCTGCGATTACTGTCCCCTATTCATCTTTTATCATGTTTATTACCAGCTGTTCTTTATGTCACTACTAGTGGCTGCAGGTTAACCTGTTAGTAACTGTGCATTTATAGCACACTTCCAACATCGGAGGGGGTACAAATCATTAAAAAAAATTTTTTTTATCTATATACGTGATATAGATCTACCTATCTCTACAGTAACCATGTTTACAACTTTACAAAACCTGCAAAAGATATGCTTTATTACAATGAAAATGAACCGTGAATAAGAATTTCAGATCCATGAACATGATGACTATTCAATATTGTATATTGGGTGATTTCAAATAACGATTTTTATTATGTGTTCAATGTTATACACTTGCCAAATACCTTGAAAATGTTTCCGTAATTCCAAAATATGAATTTGTTTCCGTGATTCCAAAATACAAGTTCGCAAAGATAGAAGTTAATTCTCAGTTACCTCCCATATGTGCAAGCGCATTCATACACTTCTGTCATCAACACCCAGTGCCCAAAGATGGCGGTGTGGTCAGCAATTTCAAATGTGAAAGGCAAAGCCGAAGTCTGGAACCACTACAGTCTAAAACAAACAGATGGCAAAATTGATGAATACATGACACTTTTTATGGATAACCAAATATTGCTGTATGTAGCGGGTGCGCTTCTTAATTTAAGTTTTAGAATTATACAATATATTGTGATGAGTATTGCAATACGGCCTTGTGCATCGCAAAATATTGTGATTTATTGTAAACCTTCAATACCCATCCTTAGGCAGTGGGGTAGCCTAGTGGTTAAAGTGTTCGCTCGTCACACCAGGTTCGATTCCCCACCTGGGTACAGCCCATTTCTGGTGTTCCCCCACCGTGATAGCGATGGAATATTGCTAAAAGTGGCATAAAACAAATTCACTGGAATCTCTTGGCTCGATCATAGCGCCACCAGTGGCTATTACGAGTTATGTCCATTCTATGCCCCTCCTATTGGCCAATCAGATTCAACCTCTCCTATCATTTACATTTGCTTTAAACAAAATGGGGACGCCCAGTCAAGACAATCTGATCAATGATCAAATCTATATTGTAATAAGGCTGGTCTTACCTCGTGAAATGTATCAGATCATGTGACTCATCACAATATGGCTGAAATATTGCCGATGTGACATTTAACTTTAACTTTAACTCACTTACACAGATCATGTGAGCACCTTGGTTAAAATCATGAAGACATTTGGAAAATATCTGTCAACACCCAGTTGATGGTAGATATCTTTTGCAAATCCTGCATAAGACCAAAATCGGCACATTGAAATCCATGTTGTTTATGAACCAGATGTCGATTTTGTTACACGATTTTGATTGGACTGTGAATAGACTCATTGGTCCAGCAAAAATAGAACTCCATAGTTCCTGCCTAGTTCGTCAAGGATGGAAACTGGACTTTTACAGTCATTTAGCTCCCTTGCCTTGGGAAGATGTTATGACCCATTAATAATGATAATCTTCACATATATAATAATCAACACAATCAAGAGGTTGTTGTTCATTTCATTAGAAAGATGGGAACATTTTGAAATAACGATCCACTTGAACAAAGCGATCTTACCGCTATACTCCAATACTCGAACTGTTACAGTAGTCGTAGCACTGTAGGTTTTGTGCAGGTTGGCCAGTTCTGGATTGGTCGAAATCGTGGAGAACAATTTGTGTTGATTAGGTTTACGTTATTGGAGCACCACATAACTCGGGTATTAACATGTTTTATTACCCAAAGGGCAAACATATCGGGGTTCATACAAATCATATATGCCCTTGGGTCATATCACGTCACAAGACAACAGTGTATTGTTTCCATCATCCGAACAGCATTGTTGACGACGTCATTTGATTCTTATTGTGACGTGAGGTTGGAATGGCATCACACTAGAAACAACGTCATGGCTGAAAATTGTTGACGTCATTCAACAAATTGTGGTTCGGAAGCTGTTGTGACGTGCTGTCCTTATAGGTAAAAACTAAAGTGATCTCTGTATGTAGACATCTTCTTTGGTAATAAATAGAACATTATGTTCATGTTCATTCTATGTTTACGACACTTGTGCCTAAATTCCAGTATTGACACTCGTGTCGTAAACATAGTATGACATGAACACTCATATACAGCGTTCTCGTTTACCAGTACTTACCATTTGTTACTGGTAAAATTAGGCTTGGACCAGTAATTCATGGGACTGCCAGTCCCTGTGGACCGACAAATCAAGTACCTTATAAATCTTTGTTGTTGAACGAAACATCAGGGATAATACTGATATTCATATAAGTACATTTTTATGACAATGTCATCTTGTCTGTTACCATCAGGGTTTCGCCTGGTCTATTTCAAGGTTAAATAACCATTTGTAGCGACTTCGTCTCAAAATATTTTTTAAAAAAGGAGAGAGAAAATTGTGCCTGAAGTTTGTGTGAATGACATATAGATTTAACTAAGTTACTTAACAGATAACATCTTTGCACTGAACATGATGTTGAAAGAATTTAAACCAAATAAGTTTCATACGTTTTTATATTTGTTGAAAGTTGGGACTGGCAAAAATTTTGGGGGGACTGGTAATTTTTAGAATTGCCACAAGGACTGGCAGTTTCAAAAGCCAGCGGGAACCCTGGTATGATATCCTCAATATATGCTTTCTATCATTTCTAATAAATGTGCTATTATTTCAGATTCTAGTGAGGCTCCTGATATCAGTCTTGGTGAAGAAAATATAAGCTTGGAGGTAGGAAAAACATCATATTTACCGGTGCATCAAATAGCAAACAAATTGTCTAATAAACATGTTAAATCCCACATACATTGCTATGCCTGGGAATTTTGTTTTCTGAAGAGAAAAAATAGATGTTTTTCTGCGAAGTTCATTGTTTAACCATTAATGTATTATGTTGATAAGATTGCAAGGGGAAACTGGTTGTTTGTTTCTTTGTTGTTCAACGCCACTCTCAGCAATATTCCAGCTATGTGGTATCAGTCTGTAAAAAAGCGAGTCTGAACCAGACAATCCCGTGATTGATATCATGAGCAGGAAAAACTGGTACAGTGGGATAACATGATGTAATCCTTCAATACATATTCGATACTGAGAAAACGTGTGAATAAGTTTATTTCTTTGAGTTTTATCAATAATGAAATGTATTAAAATCTTCTTAATCAGCTGACCAACATCAAACAATATCATTACTACTATATACTGAACAAAAGAAGTAAGGGATCATGAATATTTTTCCGGATATCTTTTGCAGCAAAGACTGTGTTTCTTTGAATGTGTCAGTATATAAAAGTATTTTATGATCTCTAACTTAATTTCTTCGGTATAGTTTTACACCTAACACTTCCTTTTGCACTGAACTCTCCATAAAGATCCAGGTTAGAATTTGTCTTCAGCAACCCACGGATGTCATAAAGAGGCACATTTTTTAACTTATCCTGCATTACTCCGTATTGCATTTACTGCTATGTTTGACAGAGAGACGAACTGTGTGAGATCCAGCTGCTGAAGAAAGTTGTCCCAACCAGCCCAGGAGGCAGCGCCCTCTCACAGTCGGCACGTGACCCGGAAGTCATGACGTCACACCAAAAGACATAACTGCTTTGTCACCTCCACGGACGGACGTACTTTGTATCCCTTGTGGAAATTAAAGCTTATTATTTGTTTTTTATATTTTGCGTGTTTCTACATTCATTATATGCTGCTACATTGTTACCTGTTATGGGCCGTGACCTTAGGGTCTTCCCATTCGTAAATTGTAACGTTTATCGCTCGTCTGTGGCTCACGTCACAGTAATTTACGGGCGCAATGTTGTTCCCGCCATTTTGTTTTCTTTCCCGCCATTTTGGTCATTCACCACGTGGCCACGTAATGTCGTGTTCTGCGTTTTGAATTCTCTCTTTGGCTTGGGTAATACATTACATTTATGTATGTTGTTTTGGTGTGCTTAAAGCCTTGCCTTTTCGCTACCTCTCAGCGTAATTGTTTCTTCTCATAAACTTCAATATAATACGAAGTTTATGAGTTACATTATGTCTCCCGTACTCTGTGGTTTTGCCACATGGTTACGTGTTTGCTTAAGGCTTTGCCTTTTCGCTCCCTTTTAGCGTACTTGTTTATCTCATAAACTTTAATAAAATATACTGTTTTTGAGTTACTTTATGCTTCCCATACTTTGTGATTGGCCACACATTATGCTTCCCGCACTTTGTGGCTTTGCCACATAGTTATGTTTTGCTTAAATTCCAGATTTTCTGCCTCGCTGCACTTGTTTCCGCGGGAACAAATCTGGTCGGGGCCGCCCCTTTCTGCCGTGATTGTACGACGCCCTGTACTTTCACAAGGCAGTGCCGATGTTGCAGTCATTCGTCGCTGTGATCCTTCAGCTCATGCGAGTATCCAGGACACACCTCGCTCAACGTGCTCGTCGACCCCCACCTACGTTGACGGCAGCAGCGCTCAGCGGAGCTTCACGGCGGCTCCCAACGTAGAGTCTGCCTCCCATGGCACGACATACGACCGTTCACGGTCTCCTACTCCACCGGCGGCTCCAGCGCTCCCAACGTAGAGTCTGCCTCCCATGGCACGACATACGACCGTTCACGGTCTCCTACTCCACCGGCGGCTCCAGCGCTCCCAACGTAGAGTCTGCCTCCCCTGGCACGACATACGACCGTTCACGGTCTCCAACACCGTCAACGCTGATGTCTCCGGCGCCCCCGGCGCCTCCGATGACTCGGCGCCTCTGATGACGCGGCGCCTCTGATGACACGGCGCTCCCGGCGCTCCCGGCGCTCCCGGCGCCTCGGCGCTTCCGATGACTCGGCGCCTCTGATGACTCGGCGCCGCTGATGTCTCGGCGCTCAACAAGCTTCATGACAAGCTGATAACTCGGCGCCGCTTATGTCTCGGCGCCTCTGATGTCTCCGCGCTCCGGCGCCTCCGCATCCTCTGATGTCTTCGGCGCTCAACAAGCTTCAGATCAACAAGCTTTATCAAGCTCAGATCAACGAGCCGACCATCCGATCTTCTACTGCGGCTTAAGGGGCACCATCGGCAATCGCCTCCCCGGCGCCACTGCCCTCTTCTCTTGCTGCCGTCTCATAACTCGTCACACGGAGAAGCATGGTGAAACAACTGTCGCCGCTCCTTTCGCTACTCTCCCGTCGGTCTTCGGGATCGTGACTATCGTTCTACTTCCTGGGTGGAATCATTTCAACCAATAGACAGTTGGTCTGATTCAACTTGCCCACTGAGACGTTATCCATAATCCCGTCGTTTAAAGCGCTATGATTCCGGAGTGAGAACCTGCGGGTTTCCATCGAAACAGAGCGTCATGTGAACAGCGTCTGTATCAGATTCGACGACGACATCCACTTACAAAGAGTTTACTTCGTCGACATCGCAGACATCAACGCTGTTCTACCCTACCCTAGCGCCAGCGTTCCTGAGAGAGACTCTTCCTCGGCGCTCCCCGGGTTTTCCACGACGCCCATGGGGTTCCGTGTTTTATCGCAAAACTCGGGTACACCACTTGATCGTCTCTCACACAGTTCATTGAGGATTGTCTGTGTGTGGAGTTTGCACCTCAGTTCCGACTCCAAGGCGGTTTTCTCGGCTACTGCGCAGAGTGATTTACATGTCACGTGTCAAGTACTCGGACTGTCAACAACTCCGACCGGATTTAGGTCAACTTACCATGGCAAGGGGTGCCATGTATTTCTACAGATTGGTTTCCATGTCTACCTGTACGCTTGGTGATACCACTCAACCAGGCGCCTGTCGCAGTCCATCCATGCACGGATGTTGGAAACAATAGACCTCCTCTACCAACACGGCTGTCACGAGGAACCTTGTTTCATCAACCCTTCGCTATAAGAACGATAGCGCCTATAGGCGTTCAAGGGATGGAAAAGATCGCCTTCCTTCGTCCGGTTTGATCTTTTCGACTACGACAGGTAGTCTTATCTTCCGCCTTGACTACCGGACACAGTGTCGATTTGATACTTAAAGTCCCTCGGCCGTCCCACTGACCCCTGTTGCATACCTGCCTCGTATCGTGTTGTCGTCCTCCATCGTCACCTCGATATAAGAACAGGAGTACTTATACGCCGCTTCAGGGATGAAAACGATCTCATTACTTCGTGCAATGGCCATATTGCCTCGACTTCCTACTACCCGGTTACGTCGATGCCCCGGCGGTCGATTGTGAAGCTGGTTTACTTCGTCTACTTGAGGTTGGCTCGCAGGCGATCACACCTTTTTTCCGAATCGTACCGACGGTACGCAATCGCAGACCCCTGTTGCTGACTACCTCCCCTGCCACCTTGTCAGTGGCTAGTGGCCCACGCCAGCCCACATTGTGACCACCTGTGATCCAGAGATCAACACCATTGGCACAGCAACAGCCTCGAGATAAATGCTTATCCAGGACGGCACTTGCTGACAGTGCATTCTCGGTCACGCCCTGTTGATCGTGTCCACTGACGACGTCACCGTAGTGTGGTGTTTGCGGACCCAGAGTTCTCGCCCCTCTCCCGGCGCCACAAACTCGACCGGCGCCCCCGAGAATCACCATCTTCGGCGTTCCAGGCGCCTCAAGCTCTCCGACGCCTCACACTCTCCGGCGCCTCGGGCCAGACTATGTGAAACGGTCGACACCCCAATCCTAGATCTGTTTGCCTCATATCTGAATGTGGCCAGCTGTCGTCTTCCATTCCACCTGTGCCGGATACGACCGCTGTGGCAGTCGAAGCCTTCCATCGTTCCTGAGAAGGATTACGCGCGTACGCTTTTCCGACTCCGGTTCTCCCTCCCACGGTTCTTCAGAGATCCAGGCCACTCGACCCCTGCCATTGACTTTGGTCTCGCCTTATTGGTCAGCCAGAAGTTGGGTTATCGACCTCCGAAACATAGCCAGAGACAACCCCTGGAACTTCCGGTGTGGTCCAACCTTCTGCTCCATCCACACGGTCTGTTGCCACACCCTCATACCCGCATGTTATCGTCTGCACGCCTGACACACATGCAGAAAGCCAAGGGCTATTCGGCTAGAGCGACCAAGGCTATTGCTTCAGCCCACCGTCCATCTACAGGGGGACTGTATGCTGATAACTGATGCTTGTTCCAGGCATTTTGTTCTGACAAACACCAGGATCCGATGACAGCGTCACCGCAGATCCTGGATCAGTTCCTTCTGTACTTGTGTAGCACCCATCGGTTGAAGGGCTTACCACCCCCACATACCTGGTCGCCATCTACTCCGTTCTGGCCATCCCGGACGATCGGAGAAAGACGAAAATTCCCGACCTACGGGCCTGGCTGCGCTCGTTCAGTCTTGAAGACCTGAAGACCAAGTTCGGACCGCCTGCGTTGGATCTGAATGTGGTCTTCAATACCCTTCGAACCACTCCCCTCGTCTTCCTTCTTCGACCTTAAGTAGAAGACGGGTGTTTCTACTGGTTTTGACTACTGCCGCTCGAGTCCATGTACAGCACGCCCTCGACGCCTCCCATGCCCGGTTCGAATGCGGTACCCAGGGCGCCGTTCATCATGGACCGTACTGGGACGTCAGCGTAAAGATTCAACTCCCAGGACAGCCTGATAGATCATTCCTTGTCCCCTCCCCCCTCGTCCAGTGTGGGTGCCGAGGATGAGGATGAGCGTCATTATGCCCAGTAAGGGCACTGAAGGTTATTCTACGATCTAAAGACTGCCGCAAGTCTAGGAAACACCTTTTTCTGCCGGTCTCCCCTTCGTCGCTGTCGCTGGTCAGCCGGAATACTTTTCCCTGTGGCTCCGGGCGGTCATCCTTAAAGCGTATGAGCCGCCGGATTGGACCCTCCCCCCAAAGGCTATTACCTGAAATAAAATGAGATCAGGGCGATCGTATTTACACTGGTTCTTCACGGTATACTGTTCCATCCCGTCGTTCAGGGAAGCCTGCTCGTGGCGATCGGACACCGCCTTCACCAACCACTACTTCCGTGATGTAGCCTTGAAAGTTGTCGCCGGCGTTCACAGTTTTGGTCCCTGGTTGTAGCCCAACAGGTCATCTATCTCCGACGCCACTGATTCTCCGATACCCTGAGCGGGGCCCGTCGACCTTTCTGGTGTTTATCACCCCAGACGAGACGGCTCTCTTGCGTTCCGCATTCGCTCTTAGGTCAGTTTTAGTTTTGGGTTACCCGACTCATTCTATTGCTGTCACCTATCCGGGTTTTACTTTTTGCATCAACTCTCGTTTCCTGACGACAGGAATGGTAGTAGATGTGGTCACCGGCGCCGACGCCAACGCCGCTGCTTCTCTGGTACCTGAGCGGTGCCCGTCGACCTCACCGGTGTTCCTTGCCTCCAGCCTAGAGGGCTCTCCTGCGTTTCGCATTCGCTCTTGGGATTGGTCGTAGATTTTGCCGCCGACGCCGCTGATTCTTCGATTCCCCGAGCGGGGCCCGTCGAACTCTCTGGTGTTTATCACCTCAGATTAGCTCTAGGTTCTACTGCGTTTCGCTTTCGCTCTTCGGTAAGTTATATATTTTGGCTACACGCCTCATTGTATTTCGGTTACCTATTCGGGCGTTTCGTTTTTGCATCGACTCTTGTTTCCTGAAGACAGGAATGGTCGTAGATGTTCCGGTCATCACTTGTATGCGGTGCGGATTCATCGGACCTTGACGAGGGTTTAATATGGTTCACATCTGCAAGTATGCCCACCGGCCAAGCCGTCTGATAAAGATGCAATACGGAGTAATGCAGGATAAGTTAAAAAATTTAGTAAAATCTAAATATTTTTTACATTTGTATACTTATCCTGCATTACGAAGTCTAAGTTCCCTCCCTTTCGCTACGCTACCTCCCCACGAAGTTTCAGATGTTATGTTTAAAGCAGTTATGTCTTTTGGTGTGACGTCATGACTTCCGGGTCACGTGCCGACTGTGAGAGGGCGCTGCCTCCTGGGCTGGTTGGGACAACTTTCTTCAGCAGCTGGATCTCACACAGTTCGTCTCTCTGTCAAACATAGCAGTAAATGCAATACGGAGTAATGCAGGATAAGTATACAAATGTAAAAAATATTTAGATTTTACTAATATTGGGATCGGATGGTCAGGCTCTTTGACTTTGTTGGTTGCAGTTTGTCATTGTATCCCAATTTCATGAATCGATGCTCATGATTTCAGTCACTGAATAAAATGTCGCATTGTATCCCAATTTCATGAATCGATGCTCATGATTTCAGTCACTGAACAAAATGTCACGTGGACTAATATTCTGATATACTAAAGGTAACATTGACGTATATATAGGCACCCATTGATTACATGTATAGGAGTGAACTGATGGATTGCATTTGATGCCATGATGACAAGATGTATGTATAAGTATTATATAAGATAGCTACCCGATAATCTGCAAAGAACAGTTAAGAACGAAGTATGGTTTAGTTCACAAGAAAACATTGTTGAAAAACAAACAGGTCATTAATAGTAATACTGCAATACTGTCCCAATTCAAATACCCTACTTGAGTAGTCAGTCCGCCCTTGTTGTGTTGCAGGAGCATGATGAGGACCTGGTGTTGAAGGAAGACAAGAAGGAAGAACCTGAGGAGCCACCCAAGAAGAAAATAGCTCTCATAGCCCCTGTCAAAGTGTAAGTATGAGCAGACAGTGGCTTTGTCCCTGGGCACTGAGGCCACTGGTGCCATTCACTGTGCAGAGTTACATCCCTTAGGCATGCCAGGAACCTATGAACTATATCCATGCTTGAGATAAAGTGGTAAACAACTAAGGCCTGCATCATTTTGAGCTTTCTTACCACATTAAGCTGACTCACCTATATATAACAGATATACTGAATCAGTAGTCCTCTGCAGAGTTACCTCCCTCAACTGTGCCAGGATGCTGGCTGTGTCCCATCCTTGATTTGCATGTTATCCTTGGTTGTCGCTGCCATGCGACCCAAGGGCATTCCGTGTTAGAATAGGTCCCCAGCAACCTATGTTGGTTGTGAGAGGCGACCAAATGAGGTAAGTCTCGGGGATTTGGTTCACAGCGTGTCCTCGTACCCAGACTGTGTGGATCTTTGTTCAAAATATCAATCACAGAATTGTCTGGACGAGACTTGATTGTTTAGAGGCTGCTGTCATATTGCTGGACTATTGCTGAGTGGGATCGGATGCATGTCATTGTATCACAATTGCGAACATCGATGCTCATAATGTAAATTACTGGATTGTCTGGCCCAGACTTGATTATTTACAGACAGACGTCAAATAGCTGGAATATTGGCATTAAACAACAGGCAAACAAACAAACACTGGTCACTGGTGTGACTGATCCCGGCCTACTAATTCACAGATCGTAGTGATATTGCACAAATATTGTTGACTGTGGTTAACTAACCTTCACGTCAGACGGAATGTGGTATCTGTTATCCATGTGTATTGTTTGCAGCACACCGGAGCCGATTTCCTCCCCCGTGTCTGAGGACAAGCCGACCGTGTCAGATGGAACCGAGCTTGAGGTATGTCCTGGTAGGAAAGATAGCGCAGCGCGTCAATAATAGACAAGTCTCTGACTTGATCCACTAGTCCGAAGCGCAAGTCTAATAACATTATGTTGGGCCAAGTAAGCTGGGGTAAAAAATGTCCATGTTATAAAACTAAAATCTACTAAAAGTGATTATATGAGATAGCTACGCAATAGATTGCAAAGAACAGTTGGGAACGAGCGTGGTTTATTTCACAATAAAACATTGTTGAAAAACCAACGGGTCACTAATAGTAGACCCGAGAAGATCTGGGTAGAATAGGTCTTCAGCAACTCATACTTGCCGTTAAAGGCGACTATGCTTGTCGTAAGAGGCGACTAACGGGGTCAGGTGGTCAGGCTTGCTGACTAGGTTGATGCATGTCATCGATCCTAATTGCATGGATGGATGCTCATGATGTCAATCACTGGATTGTCTGATCCAGACAAACCAACCAACATTCAAGATGGTACTTGATGTTACCCTGCCTGGTGCTAAGCATTAACAGAAACTGGTCAGCTCGGAGAGGTGTACTGTGGAAGAGATCATGGGGAGAATACCTAACAAGGGGATACAGACCCAAGACCAATATCAAAGTCTCACCTGTGGTAAAGTCACGGATGTATTGTTGTAGATCCAGGTCAATCATGATGTATGGAAAGTTTCAGTATATGGTGCCCCAGGGTTAGAATAGATCCCAAGTAATCTTTGCTGGTCGTAAGAGGCGACTTAATAGATTGACAGCGTGGATCGTTGCTCATAATATCAATCTCTGGATTCACGGGTCCAGACTCGATTATTTACAGGCCACCATCATATTACAGGAGTATTGCTGAGTGAGACGTTAAACAACACTCTTGCACACACCGACAAGCCCACACTCCACACACACTAGACAAAACAAACACACACACACACACACACACACACACACACACACACACACACACACACACACACACACACACACACACACACACACACACACACACAGACCATTATACGGTGATCGATGATATTGTTCGGACAATCAGTAAAACTTGTCACTGTTTCATTCTACAGAAACTGAAAAAGAGAGCGGACCGGTTTGGTGCTCAGTCCGAGAAAACTAAACTACAGATGCGAGCAGAAAGGTATGCTGACAAAATCTCTTTCTCACTTATGTAAAAACTGCAAAATAATATCAGGCCAACAAGAGTTTAACATGACTGAGGATTATTTGTTAACACACTCTGTCATGCTGTATTCTATTGATATTATTGTTTAGTTACCATGGTCGGTGTTAAACAAGAACTTTCTCACTCACACTCAGCAGACTTGAATTAGGATGACCAGGGCTCCAGGACCTGTGAAGAGCCGGGGTAGAATGGGTCTTCAGCAACCCACGCTTGCTGTAAAAGGCGACTATGCTTGTCATAGGAGGCGACTAATGGGATCGGGTGGTCAGGCTCTCTGACTTGGTTGATGCATGTCATTGATCCCAATTGCATGGATCGATGCTCATGATGTCAATCACTGGATTGTCTGGTCCAGACTCCATTATTTACAGATCGCCATCATATAGCTGGAATATTGCTGAGGGGGGCGTTAAACAACAAAGAAACGAACAAACAAAACATGTCTCATTAACAATAAGAAGGATGTAGAGCCTTGTTTATGAATCATTCACAGCAGTAGATTAGAGTTCATGTGTGTGAGGAGCGGTGGGGTAGCCTAGTGGTTACCCGACATTGGTACAATGTGTGAAGCCTATTTCTGGTGTCCCCAGCCGTGATATTGCTGGAATATTGCTAAAAGCGGCGTAAATTACATTAAGTAATACGTTACCACTGTTATACCGAGGCTGTTGTCTCCCACAACTGCTGCTATAGCGAAATCTACCACAGAGATCTCAATTACCTCATGCAGCACGTGCGTAGCCACCTAGCTGCCATGTGACACCCTTCACTCTTGTCTCCTTCGTCTGCTTAGCAAGACGTGTTTTCTCCTGCTGAAGCGTTCCTTGAAGATTTGGTGATATTTATTATCGTTTATTCTCTAATAAACTGTGCTTTTATGGGGCGTTGCGGTAGCTACGCTTGGTTATAATTTTCCCGCCAAACGGAAAATTTTTCCCGCCCTTTTTTCTATATACTTGCGGGGTTCGCGTATGCACGTTGTGTTTTACGTTTCCCCTGTTCTTGTATGTTTTGGGGGTTAACATAACTTATTTCTTTAGTAAAAGTTATATGTGTATGTTATATGTTCACATTGCTCGTTTATTTTCTTGTGAAAATGTTCGTTTGTGAATCATTGTGGTGCGTGCGTTGTAACCATGTTTTGTTCTTTGTTTCTAGAAAACAATCAATGTCTGACATGGATATGTCCCCTGTCTCCACCCCCTCTACCCCTGCTCCTCGGAGTTGTGGGGTGTGCAGAAAGTTTTTGTCGTCCCGGGATCCCCACGATCGTTGCCCGCGGTGCAGGGTTCCTTGCGAGGAAACCCGGTGCACCCTGTGCGAAGGTCTGGGACCTGCGGAGTTTGAGCGGTACCGGCTGTGCGCGCAGTCCGTTTCCACCCCTGTGGTGGCCGGTTCGTCCGGTCGGGGCCCCCGTGCGGGCACCTCCTTGTCGGCTGCGGCGGATCCCCTTGCGGCCCTCGGGCTGTCTGGGGGCTTCCGTCGCCGCATTGTTGTCGCAAATTGTGGACTCCAAGCTGGCGGCCTTATCGCAAGATAGGCCGCTGGCTGTTCCGTCCCCGGCCTCTTCGGTGGCCGCGGGTTCGGACGCGGGGTCCACCGGTACGGCGCCGGCTGCCGTGGTTACCGGTCCTTCCCCCGAACCGTTGCTTCCGCTATCGGTTAAGGACCGCGTGGCCATGGTGTATGACCTCTTCGAGGACATGCCAAAGCCCCTGCCGATACCGCGGGGTATCCACGGTTCCGTGGGTTCCTCCGAGGTATACGACGAGTCGTCCGACAAGGCTTTCCCGGCATCAACCTTGCTGCGCGGGATTAAGCCGTCTTTGGAGAAAGCCTTCACGGCTGCCTCCGGTCGGGGTCTCCCGTTACCTCCCCCGTCGTGGAGAAAAGGGTCTTTCCCAGTTCATGACCTTGCCTTTCCCGAGGCTGGTCCTTCTGCGGAAGCCCATGTGGAGCGTTTGGGGGTCCGTGCCCCACCGGTTGCCACGGTACCGCAAGGTACCCTGCAACAGCTGGACACCCTCGCTCGACACTCCATGCTGGCTATGTCTCACGGAGACACATACCTGGCTGCGGCGGCCAGTCTGGTCGAAGGTTCTCCCACGGACCGTGACCAGCGCATTTACAACTGCTTGCTCGGTTTGAATGCTTCCCTGGAGTACGTTGCCGGGGCTTCGGCCTTTGTTTCCGGCACGTGCCATTTTCTTCGGCGCCAGTCGTATCTGGTTGCTTCAGGGTTGGACGCTGCCAATCAGGAGGTGCTCCTTTCGCAGCCTTGGTCTGCTCGGACCCTGTTTAATAACAAGATCCCTGGGGTTCTGAAGGAACAACAGGCCGCTGTGTCTGCCGAGGCCTCTCGGCACACACTGGATCTTGTGGGGTCCTTGCATAGGCGCCTGGGTGCCGCTCCGAAGCGGAGCGCGCCCCAGGTTGCTGCGTCCGGCAGGCCTAAGGGGTCGGGTCCTTCTTCCTCCGGGAAGAAGCCCCGCTCTGAGGGCTCCGGTAAGGGTTCTCAGCAGCCCTTTCGCGGGAAGAAGGGGAACTGGGGGAAGCCCAAGTCGTCTAAGGACGGCAAGGGCCCTTCCAGGTGACTCTCATTGGAGGGGTTCGTATGCCGACAGCGCCAACTTCGGTTGGCCCGTAGGCGAACCCGAGTCACACGGCCCTGGACAGTTGCGCCTGCCGCAGCCCGTCCGGCCCCCCTCTCTTTCCCCAGTGGGAGCCAGACTCCAGACTTACTGGGAGAATTGGGAACAAGTGTTCGACGACCCGTGGGTGGTCAACACGATTCGGTACGGCTATCGGCTCGATCTCAAAGCGAATCCGCCGCTCACCGTTGCCCCGTCGGCTGGTTTCTATTCGGAAACCGATCTTCCCTTCCTCGCCGATGCCATCGGCAGGTTGGTGGAGAAGAGGGCAGTTCGGGAGTTAGCTCTACCAGAAATAACACCGGGGTTTTACTCCAGGATATTTCTCGTTCCCAAGAAGGACAGTGCCGAACTCAGAATGATTCACAACTTGAAATCGTTCAACGAGTTCTACCTGCGCAAGCCGCCCAAGTTCAGAATGTTGAGCTTGACGGACCTGAAAGCACTGATCATGCCGGCCGACTGGCTAGCTTCAATCGACCTGAAGGATGCTTATCTGCATGTTCCGATTCACTCAGATCATCACAGGTATCTCAGGTTTGTCTTTCAAGGCAGGCACTACGAGTGGGTTGTACTCCCATTCGGTCTTTCGTCCGCTCCCTGGCTGTTCACCCGGTTAACCACCCCCATAGTGGGGTTCCTCCACCGGAGGGGTGTCCAGTACTTCGCGTACCTGGACGACTCGCTAGTAGCAAATCGAATGTCGGACACCCTGTCACGCCATCTCGTTTTCGCACGTCGGCTCTTGGAGCAATTGGGGTGGATTGTCAATCTCCCCAAGAGCGAGTTAACCCCTTCTCAGAACTTGCAGTTCATCGGAGGTCGGTTCAACACGGTGTCCCATCGCCTATTTGTCCCCCCAGACCGGTGGCACAAAATTCAGGCGATGATTGCCAAAGTCTTAGCGGTGCAACAGACTGTTCACTTTTGGGAACAGCTGTTAGGGCTACTTGTATCAGCCCAGGACTGCACCGTACGGGGTCGTCTCCAACTCCGCCCGCTGCAACGGTTTTTAATCCAGTTGTTAGCAACGGAGGTGAACAGTGCGACCGTCGCCCTCCCGGATCGGCTCCGACCGCATCTGGAGTGGTGGACGGTCCCTTACAATGTCTTATCAGGAGTCTCTATGCGGCCCTACCGGGCCACGTTGAACCTGTGTACAGACGCCTCTCTAGTGGGCTGGGGCGCCCATCTAGAGGGGGAGGTGAGCTCGGGGCTGTGGTGCGTAGACGAACTAGGTCTTCACATCAATTGTCTCGAGTTCAAGGCAGTGATCAACGCAGTCAATCACTGGAAGCATCGTCTCGTCGACGCCCGGCTCATGCTGGCGACCGACAACACGACGGTAGTGTCCTATGTGAACAAACTGGGGGGAACCTACAGTCACTCGCTGCTCGATCTCACGTTCGAGTTTTACGCTCTGGTGGACAGTGTCCCGTGCCAGATACGCGCCCGTCACATCCCAGGTGTGCGGAACGTACTGGCCGATGCTCTATCGAGGCCTCGGGATCCGAGCCCCACAGAGTGGATGCTGAACCCAGTAGTGTTTCAGTGGCTGTGCGAACGTTTGGGTCGTCCGATGGTCGACCTGTTCGCAACGCGGTTCAACAATCAACTCCCGTTGTTTGTATCACCAGTCCCGGACCCGAGGGCCATCGATCACGATGCTCTCGCGTTAGACTGGACGGGCTTGGATGCTTATGCTTACCCGCCGACAGCGTTGATACCACACATTCTAAGCCGGCTTCGAGGAGTTCGCTGTCGAATGTTACTGATCGCGCCCATGTGGCCGAACAGATCGTGGTACCCCGACTTGCTGACCCAGGTCACGCAGTCGCCACTCCCACTGCCTGTGAGACCGGATCTCTTGATCCACCCTCACACCCGTCAGCTTCATCCAAACGCAGGGCAGTTCAATCTGCACGCGTGGATGTTGTCACCGAGCGTCTGAGGAGTAAAGGTTTTTCTCGCCGGGCGTCTCGGGCATACGTTAGTATGCATCGTGATTCTACCCAGAAGGTGTATAATGCACGTTGGGTTATTTTCACGAAGTGGTGTTGTAAACATCACATTCATTCGCCAGATAAGGTATCTGTGCAGGATATTGCTCGTTTCATGTCTCACTTGCGAGAGACCCGGAAACTCTCCGGGGGTTCCATTGCCAACTATGTCTCGTCCGTTGCTACGGTACGGGACGTTGCTATGGGTACCAGTCTCTCCAAAGAGCCGGTGATACGGGGTATTATCAAGGGTTTCAAACAGCACGATCTTAAGAAGGGCCGCCTTCGGGCACCGGCCTGGGATCTTTCCCTAGTGTTGCAATCACTTACGGAAGCTCCGTATGAACCCTTGCATAGTGCTTCGTTCCGGCATGTGACTTGGAAAACAGCATTTCTCCTCTCCTTTGCCACGGCGGCACGTGTATCCGAAATTCATGCACTCGATGTCGCCAAGGTACGATTCGATAGGGGTGACGAAGGAGCGGTCCGCCTGGGCCTGCTCATGGGCTTCGTCGCCAAGAATCAGAGAGTCGGGCAAGCGGAGAGAGAATTCACTGTAAGATCACTCAAAGAAATCTTACATCCTGCTGATACTGAGGACAGAGCGCTGTGTCCGGTTAGGGCCCTTAAGTATTATCTTAAGGCTTCGAATGAACGTAGACAAGGGCGTGACCGTCTGTTCATATCGTGTAACCCTAATCGCACGGTTGACATAACTCGCAACTCGATTGAGTTGTGGCTTCGTTCTGTCATCAATCTGGCGTACCGGTCTCGGGGGTTACCGGTAGCGGGGTCAAACCCGCACGAGATCAGGGCGCTAGCGGCAACATTTGCCCTACACTCGAATATCTCTGTTCACAGAATATTACGAGGTTGTTACTGGCGTTCTGACTCGGTTTTTGCCAATCATTACCTCAGAAAGGTTTCTGATGAAGACGTGGAGGGGGTGCACCGTCTTGGGCCGCTGATCGCGGCACAAGCGGTCATCTAGGGGGGGTGTCCAGCGCAATTTCAAATCCGCAGTCGTCAGTCCTTGCACGGTGGTCAATCTGGGTCGTCTCCAATGTTCCCACGCCGAGGGTACAGGAGTGGGGGTCCTGCAAACCAGCGCACTCACACCACAGGTGAGGCGGCTTTATGTGTGTTTTGTCCTTATTTGTATTTTGACAATTATGCATTTAATTGTCTGTCGTGTATTCCAACCTTGCGATACATGCTTACGAATACTGGAATTAGGTCACGCGCCTAATGCATACTTTCAGTAGGCTTGCTCTGGGATATACGGTCTGAAGGAACTTAATTTCCCTCTTTTCGACTGTTTAACCTGATCTAAGATTTAGCTCACGCGGATACAGTGTTCTCATCCGCTGCGGCGATGAAATACCTATCCAGTGGGGCCGTTTGGAGTCACCAATCGTTTTGGCAATGACGATTGAGCCTTACGGTATGCGCATGACAGTGCTTTGGTATTCCTATAGGGTAACGCCTAGCTAGGTGCATGCGCATCGAGTGCTTCCGCCTTGGTGTTTACTTCCGCTGGTCGGAAGGAACGCTAGCAGTCAGGATTCGGGTTGTAGGTGCTCCCCACCGCCTACTGTGGTAGTCAGCCTCGGTATAACAGTGGTAACGTATTACTTAATGTAATTTGTAGAATTTTCCTATTCGGAATATTCTATAAGTAATACGTTACCACTGGGCTGCTGCCCGCCCGTCCGTCCCCCGAGCACTTGCTCTCGCAGGAGACAAGAGTGAAGGGTGTCACATGGCAGCTAGGTGGCTACGCACGTGCTGCATGAGGTAATTGAGATCTCTGTGGTAGATTTCGCTATAGCAGCAGTTGTGGGAGACAACAGCCTCGGTATAACAGTGGTAACGTATTACTTATAGAATATTCCGAATAGGAAAATTCTACAAAACCATACTCACTCACTCATGTGTGTGATGCCTGCATTCGATCAGGAACTAAAGATCTGTAAAGCAATGCAGGTACGCATGTTGAAAAAGCTACATTGGGTAATTACGCTCAGTGTTGCTATACCATTGGGTTTTTAAACAAATTTCATGTGTTTTGTACACATGCAACTCCATATTACTCAGGTAATGTTAGATTATTTTGGGGATTTTACGCACATATTCAGCTTGTCTTGACTCCTGTCCGAACTGGACACATTCTCTACAGTGAGACAGTTTTCCTACAATCTGAAATGTGGCACATACTAGGTTTCACAAGAAAAACTGTTCTTGTTTTGAAAGTGTTTGCTTTTTTTCGTAATCAGGAAAATTATTTGAACATGCAGTTGCATAATCAGAATACTTACCCATTTTATGGCATGCATGTGGCCTACCCATCAGGTACAAGACGACAGGTACAAAAGTCAGTTTCTGTAAGGAGCTCTTCATAGACTGACAATTCTAAGCACACGAGTCATGTATAAAACTGCAGTGAACTCGTCACCTGTGTGTTTTGTCCCTATTTATCACATTTATCAATTGATGACCAAAGTCCCATGTAGGACAAATAATGTCTACAACTTTTGATTTGTGCAAAAACAAAAACCCTTCCCAAGGATAGTATACCGTTATGATTTGGTCGAGGTATTCATGGTAATCCGATGATTCCACTAAACATCAAACTTATTACTTATCATTTGAGAGGCAGCTGGGTAGCCTAGTGGTAAAGCGTTAGCCTATCCCACCAAATGTCCAGGTTCAATTCCTGACATGGGTACAAGGTGTGAACCCATTTCTGGTGTCCACTGTCATGATTTTGCTGGAATATTGCTAAAAGTGGCGTAAAACCCAAGTCACTGACTCACACTTATAAATTTGATGTTATTTTCTATAAAGCCTTCAATATCTCAGTATCCCTATCAAAAGTTAACATATTTTATCACGGGAGGGAAACAAGTTTGTTTCTTCTCTTCAAAGTCATTTTTTTCCAGCCGACACAGAGAGGGGGAGCATAGCAGTAACAATGTCTGAAGCCCATTCTTAGTGGCCCATAAGTAACTGTTTTGTTGTGCATTTGGCTCAAAACGCTGTCACTCTGATTTCCAGGTTTGGCATCAACTCGGCCAACACTACAACTACAAAAACAACAACAACAGCAGCAGCAGCTGTGATAAAGCCTGGGAAACTCTCACAAACACCAGTCACAGTAAGTGATATAAACTCTCAGAACCAACTTGTCTCCCTTGTGGCTATTCCAGAGCAGAATAGATTCCAAGCACCCAATGCTTGTCTCCCTTGTGGCTATTCCAGAGCAGAATAGATTCCCAGTACCAAATGCTTGTCTCCCTTGTGGCTATTCCAGAGCAGAATAGATTCCCAGTACCCAATGCTTGTCTCCCTTGTGGCTATTCCAGAGCAGAATAGATTCCCAGTACCCAATGCTTGTCTCCCTTGTGGCTATTCGAAAAAAAGCAGAATAGATTCCCAGCACCCAATGCTTGTCTCCCTTGTGGCTATTCCAGAGCAGAATCGTTCCCCAGTACTCCATGCTTGTCTCCCTTGTGGCTATTCCAGAGCAGAATCGTTCCCCAGTACTCCATGCTTGTCTACCTTGTGGCTATTCCAGAGCAGAATCGTTCCCCAGTACTCCATGCTTGTCTCCCTTGTGGCTATTCCAGAGCAGAATCGTTCCCCAGTACTCAATGCTTGTCTACCTTGTGGCTATTCCAGAGCAGAATAGATTCCCAGTACCCAATGCTTGTCTCCCTTGTGGCTATTCCAGAGCAGAATAGATTCCCAGTACCCAATGCTTGTCTCCCTTGTGGCTATTCGAAAAAAAGCAGAATAGATTCCCAGCACCCAATGCTTGTCTCCCTTGTGGCTATTCCAGAGAAGAATCGTTCCCCAGTACTCCATGCTTGTCTCCCTTGTGGCTATTCCAGAGCAGAATCGTTCCCCAGTACTCCATGCTTGTCTCCCTTGTGGCTATTCCATAGCAGAATCGTTCCCCAGTACTCCATGCTTGTCTACCTTGTGGCTATTCCAGAGCAGAATAGATTCCCAGTACCAAATGCGTGTCTCCCTTGTGGCTATTCCAGAGCAGAATAGATTCCCAGTACCAAATGCTTGTCTCCCTTGTGGCTATTCCAGAGCAGAATCGTTCCCCAGTACTCCATGCTTGTCTCCCTTGTGGCTATTCCAGAGCAGAATCGTTCCCCAGTACTCCATGCTTGTCTACCTTGTGGCTATTCCAGAGCAGAATCGTTCCCCAGTACTCCATGCTTGTCTCCCTTGTGGCTATTCCAGAGCAGAATCGTTCCCCAGTACTCAATGCTTGTCTACCTTGTGGCTATTCCAGAGCAGAATAGATTCCCAGTACCCAATGCTTGTCTCCCTTGTGGCTATTCCAGAGCAGAATAGATTCCCAGTACCCAATGCTTGTCTCCCTTGTGGCTATTCGAAAAAAAGCAGAATAGATTCCCAGCACCCAATGCTTGTCTCCCTTGTGGCTATTCCAGAGAAGAATCGTTCCCCAGTACTCCATGCTTGTCTCCCTTGTGGCTATTCCAGAGCAGAATCGTTCCCCAGTACTCCATGCTTGTCTCCCTTGTGGCTATTCCAGAGCAGAATAGATTCCCAGCACCCAATGCTTGTCTCCCTTGTGGCTATTCCAGAGCAGAATCGTTCCCCAGTACTCCATGCTTGTCTCCCTTGTGGCTATTCCAGAGCAGAATCGTTCCCCAGTACTCAATGCTTGTCTACCTTGTGGCTATTCCAGAGAAGAATAGATTCCCAGTACCCAATGCTTGTCTCCCTTGTGGCTATTCCAGAGCAGAATAGATTCCCAGTACCCAATGCTTGTCTCCCTTGTGGCTATTCGAAAAAAAGCAGAATAGATTCCCAGCACCCAATGCTTGTCTCCCTTGTGGCTAGTCCAGAGCAGAATCGTTCCCCAGTACTCCATGCTTGTCTCCCTTGTGGCTATTCCAGAGCAGAATCGTTCCCCAGTACTCCATGCTTGTCTCCCTTGTGGCTATTCCAGAGAAGAATAGATTCCCAGCACCCAATGCTTGTCTCCCGTGTGGCTATTCCAGAGCAGAATCGTTCCCCAGTACTCCATGCTTGTCTCCCTTGTGGCTATTCCATAGCAGAATCGTTCCCCAGTACTCCATGCTTGTCTACCTTGTGGCTATTCCAGAGCAGAATAGATTCCCAGTACCAAATGCGTGTCTCCCTTGTGGCTATTCCAGAGCAGAATAGATTCCCAGTACCAAATGCTTGTCTCCCTTGTGGCTATTCCAGAGCAGAATAGATTCCCAGTACCAAATGCGTGTCTCCCTTGTGGCTATTCCAGAGCAGAATAGATTCCAAGCACCCAATGTTTGTCTCCCTTGTGGCTATTCCAGAGCAGAATGGATTCCCAGTACCCAATGCTTGTCTCCCGTGTGGCTATTCCAGAGCAGAATAGATTCCCAGTACCCAATGCTTGTCTCCCGTGTGGCTATTCCAGAGCAGAATAGATTCCCAGCACCCAATGCTTGTCTCCCTTGAATAGGTCCAAATTAGGTCCTAATGTCTCCCTGTGGGTTCCCATCTATGACCTGTCACAATGGACAGTGGCCCCACATTAAGACGACATGCTGTGAGATATCTGAAATACTGTTCATTATCAATGCATATTCTTCATCAGGCAGAGGACTTGGAAAAACTCAAGAAGCGGGCCGAGAGATTTGGATCGACTGTTTCCACTGCTCTGTCTAAGGTAAGACAGGAGGAATAGAGGCCCACAGGCCTTGAGACAAGTGCTTTCATTCTGAACATTTACGAACAGCTGTAGGTAAAAAAAAACAGAATTGAAAACACAGTGATAGGATGATGATGTAATTTTGATAATTCTGGGTTTTGGTATAGAATAGATCCCCACCAGCCGATGTTGGTCGTAAAAGCCAACTTTTTGGATTGGGTGGTCAGACTTCCTAACTTGGTTGATTTTGTGACAGGGTGGAACATTGCTAGTGAGATCAGTCACTAGATTGTCTGGTCCAAACTTGATTATTTACAGGCCGTTGTTGTGTAGCTGAAATATTGCTGAGTTCGGCAATAAACACGTTCACACAATCACGTTCACACAGTCAGGCTAAATATTCAGCAGAGTTGCCAGTATTCCGACTGTGTTGTGGTGGCGCATGGTCCGGTGTTCACTGAACAGGTCACAAATCAGGTGATATTCAGCAACGTTGGTCACGGGGAGTCCTTGGATGGGTGACCACATTCAGCAGCTTGACTCCTGAGAGTTTCTTGGGCTTTGATCCTGCCCCACACTGAAGCACATATAACACATGTGATGTCACCTGAGGCAGGCGACTTCGACTTTGAAATATGCCTTTTTGTTGTTGTTGTTGTTGTTGTTGTTGTTGTTCACTCATGTTGAGAAGTCATGAAGGAATTGTTTTCTTTTTTCATCACTTGAAAAATAGTAGAATCTCTGACTCAAACCGGGCGGTCGGGTAGCTTAGTGGTTAAAGCGTTCACTCATCACGCCGAAGACCCGGGTTCGATTCCCGACATGGGTACAATGTGTGAAGCCCATTTCTGGTGTCCCCTGCCGTGATATTGCTGGAATATTGCTAAAGCGGCGTAAAATCAAACTCACTCACTCACTCTGATTCAAACCAAGTCAAAGCTATTACAAAATGAGTTGCAATACGATATCATGCAATGTTTTTCTCATCCTCACCAGTTGGAGGAGGAAGACCGCATAAAGAAGCGGAAGGAAAGGTTCGGAGGCATGGTATCTGCAGACAGTTCAACACCCGGAAAGACAGCTTCGCTCCCCGAGATGGATGTAAGTCTTCAGTGTTTCAGTTAGGTGGAAATGGTTTGCCTGTACACTGTTATATTAACATGTGTTTAAATAAAATGCAGTTTTCAAAACTTAACATTAGCCCAAGACTAGAAAAATTCCGGAAAATGAAATGGTTAGCGATAACATCTACAGGACATATTGACCCATGAAGATCCGGGTTAGAATGGCTCTTCAGCAACCCGTGCTTGCTGTAAAAGGCGACTATGATTGTCGTAAGAGGCGACTAACTGGATCAGGTGGTCAGGCTCGCTGACTTGGTTGATGCATGTCATTGTATTCCAATTGCGTGTATCAATGCTCATGATGTCAATCACTGGATTGTCTGGTTCAGACTCAATTGTTTACAGATGGACATCATATAGCTGGAATATTGCTGTGTGCAGCGTTAAACAAACAAACAAACAGGACATATTATTTCAGACTTCTTCCACATTTATCTTCCATGCTGTGATGTAACAGAAGTTTGTTCAAAGATGCGGTTATATCAACACCTCTCTCACTCCATTTGACTTTCAAATGCACCACCTGTAAGCAGAATGTGTTCTAAATGTGTCAGCATCAATAGACGAGGATGTAAAGCATACAAGACGGGTCCTCCGTTACGTATTCAAGCCACTGCCAGAGTCACTTGTCTGCCTATGGACCAAGCATTTCTGCAACTTGCTCAAAAGAATATGGAACAGTATTTAGTACTGCTGTATATGATTATACTTGTTACATTGAAATAATTGTTAAAAAATATTTATCCAATTTAGAAAAAATAGTTCGAAATTTGCACAAAATTAGCTGGGGTTTTTTTTACAGCAAATTTCTTCCATGAACATACTTTTCAAGATAGATCAAAATTTGCTGTTGCCAACATGGGTACATTGTGTGAAGCCTGCTTCTGAGGTTCATTGGCATGACACGTCTGGGGCAAAGGTATAAACCTCACTCACTCACTCAAAGGGGGCACGGGTGGCCCAGTTGTCTAAGGCACCGCGATTCGCTGTGCAGAGTTGCGTCCCTTGGGCACACCAGAAACCTATGATTGTGGGTTTGAATCCCTGTTCGCCACGATTATGTTTCTAGGTTTGTCAGCACCATACCCGTGCTGGTGGGTTTCACCGAAGTGGTAAATGTCTGAGACCTGCATCACTTCAGGCTTTCCTCCCACATTAAGCTGACATGCCGTGATATAACTGGAATACTGTTAAAAGCGTCGTTAAACCCAACTCACTCACTCACTCACTCAAACCTTACTGTTCCAGGAAAAGAAACGGAAACGAGCTGAACGATTTGCTCTGTCATGATTGAGAGACAGCTGTCACTGATGCATCGTTCATTCATCGTCCATCCTCACGTTGACCTCCTAGTTGCCATGGTTACTGCATCTGCCTCTCGCATACTGAAGATATTTTCCTCACATTGTGCCTCCTTTGTCAGCTGACTGTTGTCATCCCAGGGCTGTACCATCACATGGTACACACTGTCAGATACATGGTACTCACTGTCAGATACATGGTACACACTGTCAGATACATGGTACTCACTGTCAGATACATGGTACTCACTGTCAGATACATGGTACACAAATAGTATCACATTGTCACTAAACGCAATGCACATTGTCACAATATGTCATACACAGTGTCACAATAAGACACAAAATGGGATATATATTATCATGATACACATCGTAAAACAAAGAAATGTATGACCGTTGGTTCGAATTCCAGATTCGCCCCGGTTATGTTTCTTTTCTCTTTTTGTCAGCTTCATACCCATGCTTGTGGTAAACATCTAAGACCTTTCTTACTACATCTAGCGGACATTAATTATAGCAGATTTACTCACTCACTCAACCCCAGGGCAAAAGGTCAGTGGTTCGATCCCTGGACTCTTCATACCAAACTTGTTGTTACCCTGCCTGGCGCTGGGCATTAAGGGGATAAAACAGGGACTGGCCGGCTTGGAGTCAGTATACTGTGTCTCAGCGGGGTATCAATCCCTGGACGCTTCATACCAGACTTGTTGTTACCCTGCCTGGTGCTGGGCATTAAGGGGATAAAACAGGGACTGGCCGGCTCGGAGTCAGTATACTGTGTCTCAGCGGGGTATCGATCCCTGGACGCTTCATACCAGACTTGTTGTTACCCTGCCTGGCGCTGGGCATTAAGGGGATAAAACAGGGACTGGCCGGCTCGGAGTCAGTATACTCTGTCTCAGCGGGGTATCGATCCCTGGACGCTTCATACCAAAGACGTTGAAAGATGGTACTTGTTGTTACCCTACCTGGCGCTGGGCATTAAGGGGATAAAACAAGGATTGGTCGGCTTGGAGTCAGTATTCTGTGTCTCAGCCGGGTATTCATGTTAAACTGCGGGATGGTATCTCAGTGGGGTAGCACTATAAAATCAGCATTAGTCCGGTACAAGCAGCCACACGCACATGTGCAAGCACATCGCTATAAAAATGCAATAATCTTGAATGCAACATTAACCCCATTTCACCTCGGCTCAACAGAAGTTCATCTTGATGGAATGCGGTGTGTATCATCTGATGACAGTGTGTAATATGACAGCCCTTGGAATCAAGTCAGCAGGTGGAAACGGCCTCATGTTCTGTAATACTTTCATGGTTTATCTTGTATGAAACTAATGAATTAATCAAAACAAATGATTTGCCATCATGATCCCCATGTTACAAGGGAGCATCCATTGTATGAAAATAAACATGCATTTTGGGACCACTGGGAACATTTGTTAAACTTGAAGTTTCTCAACTACAATTGACAAACAATCAGAGGACATTTTTTTTATGAATGTTGTGTGTATTTCTAATTCTGTTAATTATTGATTGGCAAATATTTAAACTCATTTTGTCAAATGCTGTCAATTCATTTCACAAAGGGGAGAGGTATTTCCCCAACATTACATCGAAACTAAGTTACATGGCTGTAAATGCTTTTAACCTGGCTTTTGTTCGAAGTTAGAAGTAACATTATTATGTTACCATGGTTACAGTGTAATTTAGAGTTTCTGTTACCCCAGAATATATCATTTTTGTCAATGTTTATACTTAAACCTTTGCAAGTCAACAGATTTTAGTAATCAAGAAACAGTGTATACAAAATTAGTAATTTTAACATTTTGGGTGGATGAGTGGTATTTTATTCCTGTATTTTACATGAGTTTAATATATGAAATGATCGATCAGAATGATTGCAATAAAAACCTCAATTTTTGTTCAACAAATACTTTGATTTCATGTACTTTATTAACAGAGATTGTTTCAAATAATGCGTAGTCTCGTCAGGACACTGACTGTGTGTTCATCACCAATGTATGGGACAATGCTGCCACAGATATGTTTAGATGAGAACACTCCCATTTTGGAATAAGTTCTTAATTTGAATTCATGTCTGCCTATATTTTTGAATGTTACAGCACAGTAATAACAGTTAATAATGAAATTAACTTTTGGAGAAGACATTGTTTTCCATCACAAGTCTTTGTTCCAGGAAAAATGACGAAAACTACATATTTGGCTAATATTGGCAGGTAACATGACTTTTTTAAACAAACAACTTAGTCTGCATTTGACCAGCCAAAAAGTATTTAAAGAGATTGATAATTGTGCTTTGAAAAACACATTTAATATTTTTTTATTTGAAAGTTAAATGTAAAGGGCACTCTTTACATCATCCAATCAGATGGGAGGCGTTATTGCTGTTTGCTGCTGAAATGTATATTTATAAGTATTGTACCTGTAATTTTGTCTTGAAATGTGTGAGGCGTTTCAAGGATGTTTGTCAGACTTAATATATGAAAAGCATAAATATACTACTCAAAATAAGTTAAAGAACACTCCCATTTGGAAGGCTGTGTGTTGCAGTACCCACCAGCCATCACATGAACACATTGGGCATCTTCCTGAGGCAAGGGCATTAACTGACTTTAAAAGTCCAGTTTCCTCCCTTGCCGAACTAGGCTTGAATTACTGGGTTCCATCGTCGCGCCACCAGTGGCTACTACGAGTTATATCCCTTCTAAGCCTCTCTTATGGACCAATCAGATTCCACCTCTCGTATCACTTGCATTTGCTTCAAACAAAATGGCAGCGCCCAGTCAAAACGATCTGATCGATAATCAAGATCTATATTGTGATAAAATTTGCCTTACATTGCGAAGTGCATCAAATCACGTGAGCACCTTGATTTAAAACATAAAAAGATTTATAAAATATCTGTTGACAACGAGTTGGCGGTGCACATGCTTTGCAAATCCTGCAATCGACCGAAATCTGCATCACAGTTACGAACCGGATTTCGATTTCGTTGCGTGATTTTGACTGGACTATGCATAGACTCATTAATCCAGCCAAAATGTAACTCCATAATAAAAGCCTAGTTCGGCAAGGGTGGAAACTGGACTTTTATATAGTCCGTTAACTCTCTTGCCTCGGGAAGATGTAAATTGGGTGGCCTTTAACTTCATATATTAATGAAAATTGAATTCTAACTTTGGTCAGATGTACTCCTGGCCATTCACCAGTATTGTTCTGTTGGTGCCTTGTCGGTCACATTTGCTCAAAATAGGGACTGTTAGCACATCATCAGTGCAGCAGCATTTTACAAAACAGAAGGGCTTCTTAACGTATAATTAACTCTCATTGGTTGAAATCCAATTTATAGATACAAGGTAGTCTGAAATAGCGTTTGTTTTATGCTTTCTCATGCCAGGTTTCTGTGGCGATTTCACCTGGTTTTGTTGTCTTCAGCCACAGGTTTCGGTAGGATCCTGTTTCAGTGTCTTTGTTTTACTTGTCTACTTAAGTTTGGCTGACAACCATGGTTGAGGTGATGTAGATGATCAGTTCCTGTGGATCAGTTTCAGAAGCTGCTTCATTACTCCAGAAGCACTATATAATGTCAGATTTGTTGTTTATTATGTCAGTTTAGGTGAAAGTACCAGGTTCAGTAATTCTGTGAGGCTTGTAAATACTGATTAGATATCAGATATTTTAGTTGTATTTATGGGTTATTTGCTCATAAAAGGGTTTCCAATATTCTCTATGTGTTGTGTTTTTATTCATCAATCCGCAAGTGTGGTCGGGCTTCGATCATACCAAAAGACATTGAAAGATGATACTTGTTGCCCTGTCTGGCACTCGGCATTAAGGGGTTAAAACAAGGACTGGTCGGCTCGGAGTGTCTGAGTTGGGTATCCATGTTAAACTGTGGCATGGTATCAATAAGATAGCACCAGACCAGTGCAAGCAGCCATATATAGCAATGTGCGTACAATATTCTTGAACGCGACGTTAAACCCCGTTTCACCTCACCTCACCTAAAGCGCACAATTGATTGACCGCCATTTTGCTTTCTGTGACGATCGATATCAAATTTTTTTATGGTCAATAATTAAGTACAGATGAAAAAAGTATCCAAATAACTATTGCTATCAACGATATTTTAGTATTTGTGATTATATTATCTGTCTTGTTTTTAAATAATCTTTAGTTTAAAAAACAACTTGAGGTCACGTGATAACCAAATATGGGATAATAGTCTCAATCCAAATGTTACAACGCGTACACTTGAGCAGACTCATGAATATAACTCATGAATATTAATTAGACCTAAAATGACATTATTTGTTATTAATTGTCCAGTGAATTAAACAATTTTAAATTGAAACAATTCATAATTCATCATATTATGAATTCGTAACAACTTGTAATGTGTGTGAAAAGTCGTACTAAAATACGCTATTTGAAGGGGGCGTGGCCTAAATGCAAATGTCCGATTGGGATTTTAAATTTTCCGGACCCCTGCCGCACACGTTAGAGATTACCTCAAGCACACACAACAGAGAATCAAATACTTCAACTCTACATGAAACTGTCACTCAAGTTCTGTCATTTGTTTCAAGTGAACACCCTCATGTTTTAAGACATACAACAAAACAGGATTATCAAAACAATTATCTTTATACAGTTAGTTTAAATATTTACACTTAACAAACAAACATTTCCCATGCCACTCTTGTTTTGAGGGGGAACTTCCCTCTCAGAATTGACAGCATAGAAATACAGATCTTTGCCAGGCTTTGCTCCCCCTGGCTTGTGTCTGGAGACTATCTGGGTCCACTTGCACAAAGCGATCTTAGCGCTAAGACTATCGTAAGCCTATGTTAAAGTATGGGAGTTACGATCATCTTAGCGCTAAGATCGCTTTGAGCAAGTGGACCCTGGTCTGCCCACTCATCCCATTCCTTGCATGATCTTAATGCCACTTCGAACGGTATTTCAGTTATATCATGGCATGTCAGCTTAAAATGGAAGGAAAGACACCTATAGGTGCTGACAAACCAAGCATCAGTAATGGGTTGGATGCAACAACAATCATGGCCGAGAGACTGTAGAATGACTTGTGACCTCTGGTTCAGCAATCCCCCTTCACTCCTTGAGGAACCTGGAGTTGTGGCAGACGACCTTGGCAGCGACCTTCCTGCCGGTAGCGGTGGACATGTCACAGATCTGCAGCACCTGGCTGTTGCTGTACACACCGGGGATCGTCTTCGTCATCTGGGGGAGCTGCAGTAGACAAACAACATAATTAGTCTCTAATGAAACAGCTGCATATCCCTTTCCACAATGTGATCGTAGTGCTATATATTGATGTCATGTGTGGGGTTGCCATTTTCATGATGGATAATTCTTTAGATCTGCATCAGAAACAAGCCATAATGTTTTTATATTCCATCTTGATTAAAATTGCTTGCTAACTTCTCTACAATTATTCCAAGAAAAATGGGGGCGCGGGTGGCCCCGTCATATAGGGTGCCCCAATTAGCTCTGCAGAGTTGCATCCCTTGGGCACTCCAAAAACCTATGATCATGCGTCCAAATCCTTGTTCCCCCCAAATACGTTCTAGGTTTGTCAGCACCATGATCATGGGTTTCACTTAAGTGGTAAATGTCTTAGACCTGCATCACTTTGGGCTTTCCTCCCACATCAAGTTGACACTGTAACTGGAATACTGTTCAAAGCAGCTTTAAACCCAACCCGCTCGCTCCCAGCAGATGGCAACTGACATATATTCACACCTTTACTGTTACTCCCAAGACACTCGTCAACAATGTATCAGGTCAACAGTCACCATATACTAGTTCCCTCTCCATGCTGGTTCACTGGAAATAGCTTTAATATTGTTGAAGCAGTGTCAAGCAATATTTACTGGCTCACCATTTTGGGTGGCATGAACTGCAGAGCGGACTGGGAATACTGGGGGCCGCACTTGATGGCCTCCTCGATGAAGGACACGATGAAGCCTGTCCTGGGGGTGAAACTGCCGTCATGGATGATGGCGTTCATCAGCTGGAACAAGTTCACTGAAAAAAGAAACAGCAAATTACAAAAACATTAAACCTTATTTCATATCCTATTCTCTTGTCAACAATAATCATGTGAAGATAATAATGATAATCTGTTTGTTGTTTAATGCCTCACTCAGCGATATGTATTTCAGATAAATGATGGCGGCCTGTAAATAATCAAGCCTGGACCAGACAATCCAGTGATTGATATTGTGAGCAACGATCCACACAATTCGGATACGATGACATGCATCAACCAAGTCAGCAAGCCTGACCACCCGATCCCTATAGTCGCCTCTTATGACAAGCATAGTCGCCTTTTATGGCAAGCATGGGTTGCTGAAGACTTATTCTAACCCAGATCTTCATGGGTTGATAATAATAACAATGTGCATATTTACAATACGCCA